TCCATTGCTTTGCGAAGCACTGATTTACACTGTTACGCTGGCCTGCATGGGCGTACAGTCTGAGCAAGAATCATGCTCGACGCAGGTGCATCTGACCGTCGTCAACCTGCTTCGCCTCTGTGGAAAAGACCAGCAGAAGCGCTCCTCTCACCGCGCAAGAAGGCAAAGACGGAGGTCGGCGAAGTCGGCGACGTCGAAGTCCAATACCAAGACGTCGTTACACAGGTGGTCTGGCCCCCAAAGCGGCCGAGAGCCGAGACGCTTTAAGGGAACTTCGTGCCCTGGTCAAGGCCGAGAGTGTGCAAGTGTTCAAAAAGGCTGCGGACTGCCCGGACGAGGCGTGCAACCCCCCGAAATGCCTGAAAGTGGGATGCGCACGCGAGTTCCAGCTACAAGTTGCTTCTGTGTCATGCCAATCATGTGCACGAGCATGTTCATGAGCATTATGACACCAGTATTGTTCATGTTGCCCTCAAGCCGCCCTCTCGCTTCGACTACGAATGACGAGCTGAAACTGTGCGACTCCTTTCTGCGATGCGACGAACCTAGATTAGAAAACGCTTCACTGATCTCGTTCATCAACTCTGCACAAGGTGTCTGGGTATCCACATCGGCCCAAGAAGCAGCTCGGGAATGCGGGAACCCAACCCGAAACACGCGAGAACACAAACAACAAACACCTTCCAAAACCTTCCAAAATGCATCGGTTCGAGATTGACGAACATTGCAGAAATACTGTGAGCGACATAGCAGAGAGGTAGGTTCGTCTTTCGCAAGGGCTGGAACAAGCTATGAGTTGTAGTTGTGCCTCAACGAATTCCCTTTCATCTCTCTAACGACTTATTTCAGGATCTACGTTCGTGTGGGGAGCGATCTACTCATTCATGGGTTGCTACTTTACCGGATTCTTTAGCAAGAATCGCTACTCCTCGATCTAGGTTGCTACGTTTCTGGATCCTATTGGCAACAAGGGCTACTCCTCTATCTACGTTCGGCTGTAGTCCTCGGGTCCTCTTCTTGGCGGACTTCAGGAGGCTTCACTTCGCATTTATTCTCATTTCGGGACTCGTCCTGTTGCTCTCTAACGGTTCATTTCAAATTTCGTTCGTGTGGGAAGGGATCTAGTCATGCATTCGTTGCTAGTGATGCACGTACGGAACTGCTTACATGGCACCTTGCACTTCGAGGCTTGAGTGGAACATGATCAAGCTCATAGCAGCCCGTGGGTCGGCGTGGTTGAAAATGAACCATCGGCATTCTGAAGACACATGCATGGAACCTACAGAGAATCTCGCATGAACCTGTTTCCAAGTTGGTTTTCACTCGCCGAATTGCCCAGACCATCAGACGACTTCCACGAACAAGACAGACACGCGAAGGTCGTCACCATGCACATCCATAAGGCGTAAATTGCGGCTACACAAACGCACCAACTTGCATATCGAATTTGGAAAGACGACCGCTGTTCTCACGTAGGCCTTTCCCAACAAGTACTCTCGAAACCACGTCTAGAATCGCAAACAGGGCCCAGCTGAGAGCAGCTCCGCCGTTCCATGCAGTCCCTAGCAACTTCCGTACCAAGAGGAAGACTGTTTGTACAAAATTGGCGCGACACGTCGGAGAATAGCCAAAGACACTGGACTCCAATGCGGTTCGACACGAAGAGCCAATACCCTGCAGCATCCTGCAGCATTCGAAGGCTTCGCTGGGATACTGACCTAGGAAACACCGCCATCGACTCAATAGTTCGCCAAGGCGTCCCACGTTTCAGCAGTTGACTCTACTGGAAGATGCCGACAATGATCTTACACATCAGCTGCAATGATCTGCAATGACTACACCACGATCAACAAATCCGACTTCAATGCTAACCGAATTGAGGTCCCGCCATGGACATGATTTGTGACATGCTGTAGAAGGGTAATCAGACCGCGCAAGAAGGCAAAGACGGAGGTCGGCGAAGTCGGCGACGTCGAAGTCCAATACCAAGACGTCGTTACACAGGTGGTCTGGCCCCCAAAGCGGCCGAGAGCCGAGACGCTTTAAGGGAACTTCGTGCCCTGGTCAAGGCCGAGAGTGTGCAAGTGTTCAAAAAGGCTGCGGACTGCCCGGACGAGGCGTGCAACCCCCCGAAATGCCTGAAAGTGGGATGCGCACGCGAGTTCCAGCTACAAGTTGGGGACAGCCAGACAAGATGCCAGAGTTGGTCGTCGAGTGCTGCTTGCATGGGGACCCATCATTCTCCTGCCAATCACCCTGTCACAGGATGTCGCCTCCACCGTCCCCGACGAATCCGAGGTGCCGCCCTCCAGATACAGCACCGGAAATCTGTGCTAAGCATCGATCCTTAGTCAACAACAGAACCGTGCAGTGCGGAGGAGCAGGACCTGCATCTAGCCGACCGAAAGCAGCTCCTCAGCTGCGGAGATTCGAAGATCTACGACCGTGACGACACAAATGTCGGTGACGTCCTGAGGCAGCAACAGCAAGCACAACAAAGTGCAGAAGGAGGAGAAGAGGACACTGGATGACAAAGTTGAGCGAGTGAATCAGCTTGAGGCGCTTGTGCCTGTCAGCATGATTTCAGCTGGTATTCGGTAACTCCAGACCACTGCCCTAATGGTCGTGTTCTGACATATCCAGCAATGCTGTGTGTGCGTGAAGTGTTTATTTAGCCTGCAGTGGGATCTGTCATGACCGTCCAAAGGGTGAGCTAAGAGCTCGGGAGGCCTTAGCCTGGACTCTATAGCATTGTCGGTCGTAGCCTTCACGCAGATGTCTCAGCAGGTCCGAGGTTGAATGTGCTCCACCATGAGAGCTTTCGTTTGCCTTGGTTTCATATTACTAAGTACTACGTTACACTGAGCTATTAATGTGTCCTGGGCGTTTCAACTCTTTGATCTTTGCCGGAGTCGTGCGGTGGGCAGGACGGAGCTCCGTCTGCAGCAGGCCTTGAGCTCCTGGCTATGAAAAGCATCCGATAAAATTCAGCCAGGTGCGTTGAACCATGCGCCTGCAGATGAAGCGCAGGACCTGATCTTTCTGAGCTACTGACTTCCCCAAGCTTCCTTCCCGCTAGACCTCTATGAGAAGACAGGCATGATGGATCTCGTAACTGCAGCCAGATGGCTCATGGTTCGCCGGTTCGCATGCGAACTTTACGGACATCTTAGTCTGCGGACTACCCATCCGGTAATCTCATCGGATCGCGCTCTCGCGACGTTTCATGGATGGTGCGGCCAAGAAGGATGACAGCCTCGAAAATGGTGATGAGAAGGTGACACTGCTGGGTGGCAAACAGCGGCGTGACTTCATCGCACGATTTGCTGCAGACTTTGCATCTGCTTGCCCGCACTAGCCTTAAGGATGGTCAGAAGTCCCATTTGCTGCAGGCGAATGCTCTTGGACTTGCGGTGCCGCAGAGTTCCTCGATGACTTGGCAGGCTGACAGAACGCAAGTGGTAAGTGTGCTGCCATGCCATCGAAGCAACAAGTGTCCGCGATGCTTCGGAATCGGCCGAATTCTCGTATCATCAGGAGCCATTGGCTACAAACTCCTTTTCCTGCTTTTTGTTGTGGAGCATGCCGCTGGGCTTTAATGACAAAACTGTGCTGTAGCGATTGTTGCTGTCGTAGAGTACCTGCCCATGAGGTCAATAGAGGATTTGTGGCCGACTTCTCTGGTCAAGCGGCAGCTTGGCTGTTTGATCAATCTCCATGTCGTGCTCCTTTTTGTTAACGCAGTTAGCAGTTGCACTATCCCGAATGGCAACTCCAAGGAGTCGTACGTGTACAAGACGAAGCTTGCCAGCAAAGTCAGTTGGAACAGACTTTGAGGGGTCTCGCCCACCATCGTATAATTAGATGATTGCTCTTTCGCCCGAAAGGTATGCCGTGCCTGCTCCGCGAGTTCAAATCTACTCAGGTCCGTGATGATCTACATTTAAAGAAATTCAGCCAGAGCCGCGTGAAGTGACAACAGCACCATTGCAACACCTCGTTTTTGATGCCACGCCCTTTTCCTTCTCATGGTCTGCTTCTCCGCCAGGCATCTCGAAGCTCCCTTGGGCTTTGAAGCCGGTGGTGGGCCTCATCAGCGACGTGATGCCCATATGTGCCTCGACGTTGCACTTGTGGGGGCAACTTCCCAGTGCGGAGCTCGAGTACAGGGCCGGTGGGATACTCGATCCTGGTCATGCTGGCCCCAAGGGGCATACTTGACTTAGAAGGCCTAATGCAATCATGATCTACGACTCTGCGAGTAGCTAGCGGTTCTGTCCTTCTGTGCGTCCCTGAAGCTTGTCCTGGCAAGAGGACTTGGCTCCGGGGCTGCCTTGCGCAGCGAACTCAGGTGGCTACCACAAGGCCCCGTACATGATCGGAGCGGTTTTCGTTGGCAGTGCTGCCTTCCTCGCTGTGGGCGCTGTGCCGCACAGCATGCTTCCGGTGTCTCTGCTTCCCTGCTGAATTCACGTGGGTGAGAGAGGGTGACATCTCAAAAGGTAGCAGGATGTACGCTCAGCAAACTTGGATTGTGACTTTAGGCTTCTACCGAAGTTGACAGGAGCATTGAATGGAAGGGCAGCGGGACAGCCGTAGACTTGTACTGTAATTGAGAAGCTTGTAGTAACTGAACACAGAGCATTGAGCATGAAGCATTCTGGCTAAAATGTAGTTTTGTGGCCATGGGTAGTCACTTGTGTCGCGCGTCGAACTGTTTCTCGCATTGCCGAGGCTGGTGGTTTGTATCTTCCTGCAGCAGTCGCAGTTGTCGGTGTGCGATATCCTGGCTGAAGCTGCCCGGCATCTTTCCGGCTTGACTTGTGAGACCTGCTTGCAACTAAAGCCGCAGCTGGGTGTTGCATTGGCTGAGGCAAGATATGCGCAGCAGATACAGGAAGTCCCAGCCTTCGGATCGCATGTGCTGAGCCCTCTGGTTGCATACCGTCTTGTCTCCCAGCCATCTGTTGAACGGGCCAACGGACAGCCCTTTGCAGCTACGATGTGCGCAGGCTTCGTATGGTTTGGTATGAACGCGGGGCCGCTTGGTCACATGAAGCTCTCATGAACCCTGGAGCCGGAAGCCTGAGGGGCTACATGTCCCAAAACCCTGCAAGAACCTAAGCAGATGCTGACACAGCCGTTTTTTGGATGTTGGGCGACCTGATTCCGAGGTCTGTGCTGGGCGTCTTATTGTCCGGCCTCCTCCTCGCCAACGCATCGCCAAAGCTGCCTTTCCTGATCTCTGCGGAGTTCTCAGACGGGAGGGCAGTGTGCAGTGACTCAGATGACTGGGATGCGTTGTTGCCTGCTCAAGCTGAGGCCCTGCCAGCCGCAATGGCCGCGGCCTCGGAGGGCCACAATCCAGAGACTATCCGATCATTCCAGTGCCAGGTGCTGATCCCTTTGTTTTATGGCTGTCTTGAAGAAAAGATGGTGCGATCAGAAGAAACGGCTCCTCTCTTGCAGCACGCATAGCCCCTGTGATGCTGCGAGTGCACACTACGAAGATGACTTGTCTTCTACCAATCCGCGCTATGCCCTCAACTCTACACCGTGGAAGGCCGAAAGAAGGAAGAAATTCTATGCGTAACTGGGCTGCTCTGGTTAGTATCCAGAGAGGCTGCGGCAGCTGCATCTGGAGCTGCATCTTTGTCTCGTCGGTCTGGATTTCAAGGCAGAGGGAGGCCTGCTTTTTGAGTTTGCATCTTGGCGGCATGTCGAGCCTCTCTTGCCACCAGTGATTATGCCAGGCACCCCTGAGTCGAATAGACTGAGGTTGATCTGCGTGGTTTGCATAGGTTTGACTGCTTGTGGGCTGATTTCTTCAAGCACGCGTGTCAACGCGATCGCCGCCACCATCGCTTTCTTTGTGGTGGGCTTCTTCTTTAGCGTCCCTCGGCCCGAGACCATTAAGCCATTAAGCTTCAACACTCTCAGTGGACATCCGCAGCACTCTAGCGCCATACCTGTTTGCTGCAAGGTATTTCTCTCCCCGGCAATAGCCAGGTTCAACTTGTGGTCGCTGTTGCAGACGTCGTTATCATTATCGACGAGCACCTTAGATGCCAACAGCCAGGCAGAGAAGCGTCGCTCAAACAAGACGCGAGCGCATCTGCACATATCTGCACATGTGCTTGGCTGCCGAGGTGGCGCAGCATTCTACTTCATGACCGATACTGAAGAGCAATACAAAGAGGCTGCCAAAGCCAGTAGTCGAGGACAGAAGGGCTTGCATTTGACGTTGCAGGGCCCTCATTTCTCGCCTTTGTACTACAACTCGGTGATTGGAACAGCTGCTTGCCTTGTTCGATTCAGTCCTCGAGAAGCAACCCGGCTCCCAAAGAGCCTCGACCGTCGTCTACAGCCGAGGTCGGAGCACTCATGTCCCTGGCGACTTGGCCGTGAGCGTCAGCCAAAGCTCTAGTCCAAATACTAGTGGGCTCTTCAAACACTTGCTGCGCTGTGCTGGGCAACGTCTGAACCCGAAGCAAAGCAAGTGATGTGGCAGCCAGTCTAGACTGCAATGGCGACCTGACCCTTAAGGTGGGCGTCGCGACATTCCAGCGCTATTTCAGCACCTACCGGTACAGGATGCTTGGCACTACCTCTATGTAGCCAGCCTGAGGCACCCATGTCGTGAAGCTTGAAATGATGTGCGTCTGGCAGCTCAGGAACCTGCTGCTTGTCACCAACATTGCCTTCTGCTTCATGAACGCCCTGGACACTGTCTTGCTACCCGGATGCCCCAGACCCTTCAAGGGATGAGAGACGGAGAGTTATAGCTCACTTCACAACCCAGGTTCAAGCGCTTGAACGTTAGCATGGGCATCCCGGACCATGCTTTTGTGCTGGGACTCCTGACTGCATGCGCACCCGAAGTTGTAAATCTTCATACATCAGAAGGGCAGGGAGAGGGATGGGTTGAAACCTTAGAATCAGGGGCGAACTGTAATTAGGTCGAGTTTCATAAGTAGGGGTGAGTTGATGCTGTAGTATATCTCAGGTACCAGCTGCATGCAGAACGTCCTTATGCAGTGGCAGTGGATGCCTCAAGTTATCATCCTTTCCTATTTCTGCCCGCGGGGCATGGAGGCCACAATGTATGCTCTCCTGGCCGGGTGCCACAATTTGGGCAACACGATTGCCAGCTGTTGGGGAGCCCTCCTTCTGGAAATCTTGGACGTCAATCCGACAGGGTCAGTCGGCGAATCTGCTCAGTTTGACAACCTTTGGAAGGCTTCGCTGCTTGCTTCCATGATGCCTATCATCACGGTGGTGGCCCTCTTTCATTTCATACCGGATGTCAAGCAGGGCGATCCTGTTGTGGACCCTAACGCCGAAGCTACGCAAGGCTCCTTATGGAGGCAGTTCTGGGATGCTTAAGATTGACAGAGCCAGCGCCAAGGAAAAAGGCCGTGGACATCTTGGATGGCGCTTCATGCCTCGGTGTCTTTTGTGTGTTGCCTTTCAGAGGTCCTTGTGTGTCGTTTTGGTAACGGTGGCAATGTCGGCCTGGTCCTGTGGTCGCTTGGTCCGCCAGACCTGCGGTGCTCGTCTTTCCTTTGCGAGTATCTTGGAGTGTGATAATACGATTATTAAACCAGAAGCAATGAATAGCCAGCATGTCTTCCAAGCCGCAGCCGACAGACCATTGTGTATGCTGCAAGTTACAGCTGCTGCTGCCCGAGAACCGCCGGGACAGGCCGCAAATCGGAGCACTCGGAGCCAGAGAGCAACATTCACAACCGCAAATGGTGAAAATCACAGCAATTGAATTTGGAGCCAGCTAAAGGGGCAAGCGGCACGCCGTTGATTTCACCCAGAAACACACCTCCTTGCTTTTGGCTCTGTTAACAGTCCTTGTGTGCGCAGGACTCTCGCGACTGCGTGACCAGATTGGAGGAACTGCTGGACCATGTTCTGATAAGAGTAAGGCACTCAAGGACCAAGACCCCAGGATCCTCACCCGAAGAATCGGATCTCATTCCCGACTGTCCAGGACGACGAGGCGGAAGGTGAAGATGTTCGGATCCCGGCCAAGTTCGAGGGAGGCCTTGCCTTGCCACGGTCTTGCCTTGTGCCTGGCAGCTGTATACAGGTCTCCCAAGCTCAGACCAGTACAGCAGAGCTGTAAGCCTTCACAGCCATGCCTGAGTTCTTCCCGGCCTTCCGGCCGGAGAAGCGCAAAAAGCCGATTCTGTTTAAGAATGCCCGGATTTATGACGGCAGCTCAGAGGGGCTAACTCAGCCTCAAGATGTATTAGTGGTTGGGAACCTGATCCAAGACATCGGAGAAGGAATCAGTGCTGAAAACTGGGGCGCAGTCAGCGTTGACTGCACCGACCATACTCTAATGCCTGGGTTGATTGATATGCACAGTCACCTGGCAATACAAGAAGGGATGCTTGAGGGCCGTGATCAGTTTGATCAAATGGCCATGGGTGCTATGTGTGGGCAGGACTGTATCGACTATTTGCTTCAAGGTTTCACTACATGCCGTGATGCCGGTGGAAATGTGCTGGGTATGGCCAGGGCCATCAATGCCGGTCGGATCCCGGGTCCTCGCATTTTTGCCTGTGGGGCTTTCCTGAGTCAAACAGGCGGGCATGGCGACACTGGCTGCTGCTTTGACCAGCCTGGCGATGCTGACACGCTGGAGCGTTTCGGCTTCTCCCACATTGTTGATGGACGTCCCGAAATGCTAAAGGCTGCCCGAAACAACTTGCGAAACGGAGCCACACAGTTGAAAATCATGGCCGGTGGAGGCTGCGCCAGTGCCTTTGACCCCATCCATGTGACACAGTTTACAGAAGATGAGATGCGTGCTGCCGTTGATGTAGCCCGGGACTACGGCACATATGTTATGGCTCATGCCTACCACGACGATTCAATCATCAGATGCCTTGATGCCGGTGTTCGCTGCATCGAGCATGGCTTCCTCATGTCTGAGTCCACGATGAAGCGCATCGCCGACGAAGGTGCTGCGATGTGCCTCCAGTCATGCATGTCTCTGGAAGCTTTTGCTGAGCCTGAGAAGATTACTTTCTTTTCAAAAGATCAAAAGAAGAAGGCGGCCAAAGTGGCTTCGGGGGCAAAGCAGATGATGGAGTTTGTGCGAAAGTACAAGCCGCTGACAATCTCGGGTGGCGACATGTTTGGTGCCTCTGCCCAGCACCGGCAGGCGGACAACGTGATCACCCTCGTAACCCTGGGCGGTTTTTCTGCAGCCCAAGCCCTGCGAAGTGCCACTGGGGATGCAGGGAAGGTCCTGGCATGGAGTGGGGGCATGAACCCTTACAAGGATGGTCCTCTAGGCATAGTCGCCAAAGGAGCATATGCAGACATCATCATAGTGGACGGCAACCCGCTGGACGACATCACCTGCCTCAAACGCAATCACGTTCGGGTGGTGGTGAAAGATGGCATCTGCTACAAATATACCTTGTCGGCGGGGCGAGCAGATCTTGACGGACTGACTCCCTCTGTGCTCCCCTCGGGCAGTGGGATTTGAACCTCTCGTGGCATGCAACTGCGCAGGCTGTGAAGTTCTGGTGACGGTTGGGCTGCTACGTGTTTTGGACATGCCTTCCCCTACATAGTCGGGCCTTGCTGAAGACCGCAAGTGTCGAACCAAGTGCATCGCCTGCGAAACCACGTAAATGGGGGGATGAAGTATCCGGGTGTGATGCAGTGTGAGGTTCAGCAATCGTCCGCGCAGCTCGAAAATTTGTCCTGCGAGGAAATCGTCCTTCGACTTCAATTTGGTTTCACTTCCGTGAAGGAAGAGGTGTGATTGGATGCCTGCAGGTCTCCAGTAGCGCTGCATGCAAAAAGCGACGGCAGGAGTCGGACGAGGAGTCGAATCAGCAGATCCCAGCTGACAAGGCAAGACACATGGCATCTGTCTGGAGACCTTGCAACCACTGCTGCGCCACAGAAGCAGGTGCACGCGTCTGCATCATCCGCGAAGGGCTTGCCACAGATGTTCAAAGCCCAGCAGGAACAGTGCTCAGCTTAGTCGTGTCTGGCTCTTTGCACACTGTCGGCTGGCTTTGCAAAGTATGCAAAGTCTCGTGTCTTTATTCTTTTCTATTGGGGTCAGGTCTGAAGCGCAAAGCCTTCCCAACGAAGCCGAGAGTGAGGAGCTGTCGCTACAGGCGAAAGCCGTATCTGGCCGTCTAGGAGTCTAGCCCAATCCAAGGTGACTTCCGCTCAATCTCGCTCTCAGCCCAGAGGTAGCCCAACCTCCTGCCTTAGCTTGGGATTCCGTGACGTTGCTGGATTTCGGCTCTGAGCAAGTGATTGGGGCGTATTCAAGCAGACACCCTTCTGCTTACCGTGCACTCCCTTCGTAAATTCTGCCGGCGAAGCCGAGGATTGGCTGCAGCCCCTCAGCAGTTCTTGTGCTTCGGCTGGCTCTTGCGTCTACCTTTGAAGAGTAGACGACAGCGAGTGAAAAACACTGCACTCGCTTTTCATGGCGATCTTCCTGGCATTCCTGTTTTCGCTGGTGGCCGTCACTCAGTTCACAACCGCTGACAAGTCTACCCGTCACAATGGGCTGAAGACCCCAGCGCCAGTGGCACTGCCATTGCTGCAAGAAGCTTCGGACGAATGGCTGCTGCAAGAGGAGACTGGCTTGGAAGATCAGCTGCAAGGCGAAAACCCTCCCGCAGAGATCGATCTCTCCTGCTCCCAGAGCTTCAGGATTCCCAGCCTCACCGAGCTGCCAACTCCAGTGCCAGATCTGCTCGTGGTGCTCGTGGCCTTCGCCTGCTTCAGGATCTCCTGCCGAGTGCGCACCATCCTGCACGCCATTGCTCGAAAGGACCTCAGTCCAGGTCAGCCCCAGGTTCCAGTGGAAAGCACTGATGCCTTCGGCTGCACAAAGCTCCATGTGGCAGCACATGCAGGCTTGCTAGAGGAGGTCAAGAGCTTGCTGAAGTGCGGTTCTAATCCGAATGCCCAAGAGGCGTGGGACGAGACTCCACTTCACATGGCTTCCCGGGCTGGACACTTGCAAATCGCAACCCTCCTCGTCGCTCACGGTGCAGATATCAACATGCGCAATGCAGATGACGAAACGCCCTTGGTGGTTGCCGCGAATGCAGGCAAGCGTGAAGTCTGCTCCTATCTGCTTGAGATGGGAGCTGGCACAGGAGGTTTGGAGGAGGAAAGGCTGCCCTGCCTTCTGAACACCCTGCTCATGCACGGTTCTTACTTTGGCTTCGTATGCAAAGGGGTGTGCTTCGCACCAGTGAACGAGTTTTGGATTGCTCCGGTCATGAATTAGAGTTACCGCCGTATACAATGCTCTGCTGCTGAGGCAGCGCATGTTCGTGACAGATGCGGACAGCAAGCTCAAGGCTTTGCAGCATCCATCGTCGGCATTGCTTGTAATTGGTGTTCTGGCATGGGTCCGTATCGCGGAGGCTCCTCCAACAGCAGCCAAAACGACTGCGTGCAGGCTGGTAATTCTCTGAACCTTGTGAGTTGTGCTTGCAGACTCAGTGCTTGCCCACGTTCGCACACAGTGCCACATGTCAGAGCGTGACAATGTGTGACGCTACAATACCTCTATGTTGTACGGTAGTTCTGTGTATATATGTTCATACACAACCACAAGATTAAATACTCGGGCAGCAAAATCGCAAAATGCACATGCACGCGCGTGTAAACATGTAGATGTGTATGTCTGTTCATGTGTATGTGATGGCATGCATTCATCGACCTGACTCGTGGCTACTCAAACACTCCTGTTACAATTTACAATCCCTCCACAAACGCATGCTGAAAGCATTCATACAGGCGTGTATGTGGGGTTCATTGCTTGTGCATCTGCTTTATTTCACTTAAGTTATTGCATCCTGCCAGGTGAAGTCCACGTGCACCCGGAGATGTAGCTCGTTGCCATATGGTCTTGGGCTCAATGTCGTCCTCGGAAGTTCCGCGTCCTCTCCAAGGGCAGAAAGACCACTGATCCTCTTCTCTTTGCCGTTATGACTTACTGCTGCTACTACCGTTGCCGTTGCAAGAGCCTGGCAGGCATTACAGGAATGTGAGCAAGCTTGAAAGTGGCATAATTCGAAGCCCGCTGCACTCGTCAGCAGGGATTGGAAATGACCCGAGAGAGCTTGTTCCTGTCTCACCAAAATTTTGTGCCGACTTCACAGCTAGATTGCTGTAGGAAGATCAGGCTCACATCCACAGCCCTGTTCGCCCGAATTGATCTGAAGATCAGTATGACCGGACAGTTCTGCGCATGCTGTGCAGTGTTCTTCAAAAAGCCAAGCATGCTGAGATACGCCCCGTGCAATCCCAAACATCCGCCCGAGAGCATCAACCACGCTGCACACCTTTCATGCCCTGTCTTTTGCGACGCA